CAACTCCCAGAATTCCCCAGCCAGCATGGCTGGCTAGGGAATTCTGGGAGTTGAAGTCCACACGTCTTAAAGTTGCCAGGGTTGAGAACCACTGGTCTAGATCATTTTTGTCCTGGTAGGAGGAGGAAAGGCGGCCAAACATCTAGTTGGACAATACATAATTTCTACAGAAGGAAAGAAATAACTTCCTCCAGATGTGAAGGAGAAAAAATTCTGCTGAGACCCAGTGGACGTTGCTCAGTTAATTCCTGGCTGAGGCCTCCTGCATCCAAGCTGGGCTTAATTTTTCTCTTGGAGAACGCTGGACTAGTTGACAAGTTGCCACTCAAAGAGTTTGCAAAGGGAGAAAGGGACGCCACTATTCAGGGCGCCAAATCCGCAGTGCTGAATCAGTCTGTTCTTGTTTTTTCCATCACATTAATTCCCTCCCAGGTCCATAGAGTTGCTTACCTCCAGAACAGTGGGAGGAATGAGAACTCATCTAAAACCCAATGCACTTCCGCTGTTGGCTATGGAGTGAGCTTTGTGGAATTCCATAGATACTGTACAGTTCAGCTTCCTGTGGATTTTGGCTTTCAATTTTAGAAGAACTTTGGAAGGGTTGAGACTAATCGTTGGCCTCCTATCTCATGGCTACTTGTATACCTGTTTGGGCTGTTTTTAGGTGTTCCGCCGTGTGACACAGGTTTTTTTGTATCCCCCCCAGCTTTCCAACAGAGTTTGCAGCTTCAGAAATGGCTCTCAAAGGTAGCTTCTCCTTTTCTCCCAGTTGGGCTGGACCTCACCAAAATCAGAAAATTTAACATTCCTAGCCTTTACAGTTGCAAAGATTCTCTGGAAGTCATGTGAGCCCTGCATGCTGACTGAGTAAGCTTTCCCTTTGATGGGATGAATTTCTTGGAACATGAGTGGTTCTCAAGACAGACATTCACTCCTGGCCTTTCTATCAGTGCTGGGGAGGAGGGGGGGTTGTGCACAAAGCCATTCAGGCAGAAGATGACGCAGATCCAGCTAGGGTTTGGATGTCTCCTTCCTGCAGAACAGAATCACAGGGTTCAAAGGGGGCTTCGAGGCTGTGGGGTCCAGTCGCTGCTCAACAGAGGAAGCATCTCTGAAGGATGACTGTTGAGCCCTCATTTGGATATATCCAGTGAAAGGGAGCCCACTCCCCAGCCTGGACAATTGGTTTACACCAGTGTTTTTCAAACTTGGCAACTTTAAGATGTGTTCGACTCCCAGAATCCTCTCTCACCCCTATGGGTGTTTTGTGTCTTCCTCAATCTTGGGTCCTCTACCAGAGACCTGGGAGTTGGAAGGTTCTGTGCAGTCTCTGAGCTATTCCTAGCACTGCACTCCAATTCTCCCATTCTCCGTTCACAGGACTTCATTTCTAGCCGCCCGATAAGTCTCAAAGGCATCTCTGAACCTGTTCCCCTTTCTCTGGACAATTTCTCAAGGTGGACTGTTCAGAACCGCTGCAGAACATGAAGGCCAGAAATCTGGTCTCTTTCAGAAAGAGTGATTGAGGGTCACAGAGGTCATGTGGTTCCATGTTCAGGACCTAAATCTTGGGAACTTTCAATAGTTGCCAAACTTCAGCCCTCCACCTCAATTTTGGAGCAGCTACAGAGGGGATGGGGAGAGGGACAGCGAATGGGCATCCTACGGCTGTCTTCTTCCCTGCCAAAATAATGTTTTAATTGATTTGCCTCTTGTCTTCAAGGAGCCCAGTGCTGTTCCAGTGTATGCATTTGAGTTGTTCCCAAACTTCATCTCCCTTCATCTTTCCTCTCTCAGACTTTCACAGCATGGTGCAATTCCCACCTTCGGAAAGCCGGCACGCAGATCGAGAATATCGACGAAGATTTCCGCGATGGTCTCAAACTGATGCTGTTGCTGGAGGTCATTTCAGGTGAGGCTCCAAATTGCTGACATGTTTTGAGGTGTCTTAAGAGCCTTACTTTTCCTTCTCTTGACAATTCCTTGAGATGAGTCTGGATGTTTGTGTCATCCCAGAATAGTCCTCTGCAAACCAGGTTCTTCCCACTTTGTTGGAAATGCCATTCCAAGAATTCCCAGCAACTTTCAGGGCATCAGGTTGATTAAAGCTGTTTGATGATGATGAACCTGCCTGAAATCCTTTTTGAAGCACGTTCCCATAGCACATTCCTCCTTGTGGGTTATCTCCTTGAATTGGCTGCTGGTGAAGAATCCTCAGTAGATCATAAAAAAGGGTTGGTGTAGAAACAGTGGGTAAAACTGAATATAGACTTCTGCCAGACCCCCTCTCCCGTCTGCTGCAATTCAGTGCCCTAATTTAAGCAAACTGTTTTAATTAAATAATTTGAAATTTGGGTTCAAACTAAATTTTGGAGGGGATGAGAGTTAGCAGTCTATCTCATGGCTGCTTGTACACATATTTTGGGCAATTTTATGGACTCCCTTTTAATTGCAGAGTGGCACAGGATTTTGTATAATCCCAGTTTTCAAACAGGATTTACAGCCTCAGAAATGGATCGCCAGCATAGCTTCTCCTTTTCTTTATGCTGAGCTGGACCCCACCATAAATCTGGAATTTTGGTTGTGTTTAACTTTTGATGTTGGTTTGAACTGAGCATAAGAGCAACTCTTCATGAGTTTATGTATGCGTTATGAGTTTCTCTGTTACAAAATGTTCTCAGTGATGAACTGTAAATAAACAAAACATAAATCAGGAAACAAAATAATCAAAGAAATAATACAGAGATCTGTATTTACATCAGCTAATGCAACAAAGCAGGAAAGTAATCATATTCTGCATTCAGTGCAATCTATTTAGACGTAAAAATGTATACAAAAAAATCCTCAGCTTGAAAGTTTTCTGTTCCCACTCCTCTTGAGCCAGTGAAAGCGTTGGAGTGAAATTCATTTGACTTATTCTTCCTGCATTAATAAATGAACTAAAACACAGGATTTTGGTTTGCCCTCTCCTCTGACTTTTGCAGCGCTGTTCAAAATAGGTTGAAAAATATGTGGATTAGGGGGAATTGTACATAGAGAGACATATAATCAGAGGAATGCGCTTGGGAAAAAAATGCCTTTACAGGGAATTGTGTTCAGAAATTCATTGTGATTCCTGTGTGCCCCAAAAGGCATGCAGAGGACTGTCTGACCCTTTAAGGAAAAGAGCCATTCAAAAACTGGTGCAGAGGTATGAGGAAATGAATTTAGGTTTTTAAAAACGCAGCAGAAAGGTTGACCAACGAAACATATGGCTTCGTCTATCCATAATTGCCTAGCGTTGTTCAAATAGGGCAGGATATAAATTCTGTAATAGTCCCGCGGGGCTACTCCTATTCTGGTGCCTGGTTAGGTTTCTTCTCAGAACCGTTAGGAACCCACCTTCTCTATTTGCTGATTTCAGGAGAACGGTTACCAAAGCCAGAAAGAGGAAAAATGAGGGTACATAAAATCAACAACGTAAACAAAGCTCTTGATTTCATTGCAAGCAAAGGAGTCAAGTTGGTTTCTATAGGAGCTGAAGGTAAGCTGGCTGGCCTGGGGTGTGGATGAACACAATCCTTTAAAGATTTTACACTGATAATTTGCACCCATTTTACTATGTAGCAGTATTTCTCAACCTTGGCAACTTGAAGATGTGTGGACTCCAACTCCCAGAATTCCC